AAACAACACACACATACACACACACACACACACAAAACACACACACACACACACACACACACACACACACACACACACACACACACACACATATATATATATATAAATATATATATAGTTACTTTCGCATACACACATCAGTATATAGATCTTTGATGGGTTTTGTGCGTGTCCGGGATTGAGATATGTACTAAGCAGTTGTAGAGGGGTACAAAATTCGGTATTTGTCACTCAGTCAAATACAAGATTCATGAGTTCCCAATTTAACTTGATTGCCATCTACCACATACCTGACTCGTATTCAAAGCCATACTCATCGTCGCTGGCGGCCATATCAAAGTCATCGTCAGACATATTTAATTACTTGCTAGCTGCGCTTTGACGTGCCAAAAGAGGTAGTTAGCGTTTACAGTGGACGAGTTGTCGAGGTTGATAGTTTTGACCTCTGGGCTACGAACATAAAAACGAAGTGAATAATAAATGTCGGCTATATACATACAATAGCGTCTGATTGTACTATTTATTTACTTTCTCAGTGTATATGACATTTTCACGCGTCATGATGATTATGCCTCGAAGAATGTATATCGGAAAGCTACACAGAGCCTCGTTCATAGCAGCCTAGTGGTAAAACACTTGGTTGCAAATGAGTTGGTCGTGGGTTCGATTCCCGCATATGTCCAAAAAAGATTTCCCGGGAGTGTGCCGCGGCACTCTGTGAGCCGAGTGGCCGGTTGGTTTTGGGATGCTATCAGTTGGTAAGACTATTGCAACAAGTCTGTACTGAGCCGCCCCTAGAATGGCGATGTTTCTATTGGCTCAAAGGGGTAGCTCTTTGGGTCGAGGGAATTGAATAGAGGGAGACTGTCCCAGGCGGGAAACCGAACAGGAGAACCTCTCAGCATTGCTACGTCTCAGGGAAAACAGCTCGTGCGTTGTACTACACACTGCTGGTGGACCAAAACTTTTCTTTTTTCCATATATATGTATATAAAGATAGTTATTTCCTTGTGCGTGCGCGTGTTTGTTGTCACAGTCCTTGATACCTGATAGGTATCATTTTACTAGTTTTATCGCGCAGCATTTTGATAAATAATCTGCAAGCCGACATAAATCAACGTTTTCAACAGACTTTCATCGGTTCCACGTTTTTTGCCTAACCCATCTACAGAGTGTCAGAATCAACTTCAATATCATTTGCGAGAGTATCCACCTCTATCGGTTCTGAGCGATGATTCTCAAGTTTGAAGCTAGTTTGTACGTGTAAATACCGCCGGCTAGTAGTGTAAATACCATCATGGTGGAGCAAAAAAGTAGCTTATTTGCGCATATGTTCGGTTCGTCTGTCAGACCCAATAAATATATGGGCTTAAAATATAAGAAGGGTCACAAGGTATTGTACAAACCGAAATGCAACCCACTATCTTCCGCGACGCTTTGTATGCATCAACCAACGCGATTGCAGTGTAACGACTTCAACGACAATTTCAGTTGGTATACACACACGCCACTGCACGCTCAATTAATATATATATAGGCCACTCGCCTGCGCTTTCATTAAAGTGGAATGTATGTTTTATTTTCATTCCACACAGATACAAGCCATGAGTTCAGCAGTAACGAATCTGGATTTTAATTTCAGTCAAAATGCTCTCTCGCCACACATACGAATGTCATACGCCGCGTTTCTATTTTAATGACAAGAGTTGTAGCAGCCAAGTAGAGCCTTCCTATGCCAAAGATGCTCAACGAACCTGGCCCAGAACAAAAGCTCTCTCCTTTCATGATAGATATTGTGAAGTATCGAACATTCGGTACGGCTCCAGACTATTGTTGTATATCTTGATCTCCTTGAGCACCTATTTCGAAGAAGTGATCGGAAGACGTATCGTGATCTGCGAAGTGTATCATGCATATGAGGAAAAACGAGACTAAAATCTCAAGAGTATGAGTGGTACTCGAAATGAGAGGTGCCAGGATGGAGCTTTCTCCTAACGTATTGATTTTCATTTCCGCGAGCGAACAGCGCACTCCGGCCCCGATGGCATCGGATTGGTTGGCATTACATTCGTCGGTAAGTAAGGAACCATTGGTATACATTGACCAATTCATCATGCCAGATACTTATTCAACTAGCTATCGACTGACTACATACATATAGGTTCATTGCCCGAAAGATTTCGCTGAACTTTGGCTAAGTGAAAATGAAAACCATAGTATAATTCATATAGTGGATCGGGGGTTCGGCCCGTCAAAACCACTGACGAATAATTTCTACTGACGGGTGCTGGCATATCACACCATATGTATCTGTAGTGTATACATTTTACAAGCCCTGCAGGCAGTTCGAACGCAATGCAACCTAGTCGCTCCTAATGTAGCTTCTGACCCAAGATATGCATGTACTAGACACAACTGAATCGAACTATTTGCACAGGGGGTTCTCGGTCTTCTGAGTCATGGATTCGATACAATACACCGAACCCACATAACACTCTGCAGCAAAGCTACTATCTGCTTGACACATGTTTGCCCCATGGACGTTGTGCTACAGTATAGTGCTACATTATAGTCATTTTGCAATAGACACCAACAGGCTAATACGTCTCCAGCACACGCGTCGCACCCGCAATGCGCCTGAGGAACCTCTTCGCAAACCCACGCTACCCGACTATCTCTACTGGTAAAAATACACCTCTAGTGTCAATAAGTTCCGAATATCCAGCTAACGACTACTCGCTCCATACTCCAGAGATTCAAGTCCTCATGCACTAATGAACTACTCATCAATCACTATTGATTTCTGCCAGCACCGCTCCATACAGCTTCTGCATCGTATCCACATCCGTCCAGCCCATTGGCTTAGTGACTAACGCCGTATCATAGGCTTTGTGGTCGTGTGACGTCGCTGGGTCGTCGAATGTGTGCTCGTGCACGAACTCCAACTCATCGCTGCCACGTGGTTGCTGCCTATCCAGTGTATTGAGCGTGTTTGCGACGCGTTTGACCGTGGACCGCACGTGCCTGCGTCTGCTGTCGGGCATTGGCCCGGTGACCAGTGAGAATAGAACCCCGTATGCCTGCGGTTGAAGTAGAGAAAGATTACAATCTAGGTGGTGAATTAAGCTTCCGACTACCAGGGACACTATTAGATACGGAACACAGTCTGAGATAAAATGCTTGTTGCTGGATTGTGTCGGCGGCAGCAGGCACACAATGCCACTACTCATCACCCCTCGTCGGGGCGATACTGGGCGTATACGTACGTGCTTGTAGGCGTGCATATTCTGTCTTCCGTGTGTGCCATTTCAGACAAGCTGTCCACCGCTTCACACACGGGCGGGTGAGTGGGGTCTCCTTGTGTGTGCACAAACTGAATGGCGTGTATGCGTACATTGATAAATATATAGACAGAATAACAGAGTGGGAAAGTATACATAACTTTCCTGATGCATTATGCGAGCTCAACAGCAGATCGGAGATACAAAGAATGAATGCAGCGCTAGCTCATCATAGCCCACACATACCTCGTCAAACTCCGCAGCAGGCACGTGCTTGATGGTGTAACGATCTTCCTCCCAGTTGACTATCAAAGAAGCCGCGAACTGTGGAGTGTCGAGACATGCGCGATATCGTAAACGAACACACTAGTAAGACTTCAAGCACTCGTCCGCTATTAAGGATCTAACAACTGACAACATTGCCCACCCCGCGTTATAGCCCCCCTAAAACGGGCCACTAACACACATGCACGTGATCTAGTCTAAGGAATACGCTAGTACATTTTGCCGGCTATGCTTCTCCGGAGGGTAAGAATTGACAGGAGGTGTCGCGTGTCTGGTGCTGTACCATGGTGTGTGCACATAGTTGAATATATGGCGTATGGCGCGGCACACATACTGAGGGCAGAGCATAAGCACTGAGCGAAGTCGGCAGAGACCATGCAAGGACAGATAAAGACTGGGATCGTACACCTTTATGAATTCGAGAAGTGGGATCGATGCGGACGGGACAGCTTAACACCGTCAACAAAACAGGTCAGTGCCACTATGCATATGAATAAAACCCGGACCCCCCCCCCCCCACGAATCAGCAGTCTTTTCACTCATACCTGCGGCCTCTCCTCCTGCACATCCACCATTCGTGAGCACAGTATGATATCTCTTGCGGGCGGTTCTGGTGGCGGTGCTATGACCGGCAGCCGGCATGCAGCCGCCGATTCCACCTACGCAATGAGTATGAGGTTGTTGATATGTGCTATGGCTCACCAGCTGTTCTATGTATAGCAATACCTTTCCTTGGGACATAGAGAAACATCTGATCCAGATACAGATATACTCCTCTTGAGATATAGTTGTACTTTCCTTGGAGGTATAGAAAAACTTTTCCTTGATATATATACGTTGCCTTGTGATATAGAATTTATTCAGAAAAAGATATACTTTTCCTTGAAACATTGATGAAACGTTCTGTACGTGTACTGGAGTACATTTATAAAGTTAAGCTACACAGAGACACGTTTGAATCGCTGGGATGGTACAATTCCTACGGCCCGGGACCAAATACTAGTATAGTCAGATAATGTGCACTTGGGAAGGATTTTGGCATTCATATTTTTCCACTAATGTAGAGCATGAACAAAGTGCACAAGATGTGCAGATATAAACTGTAAACAGAAAGACAAGACCGTGACCACAGCAACTGAAAAAAGATCTTAAAGTTCTCGAAAACGTAAACGTAGCTGAGCACAACACCGGAATGGTCTATTGCCTATCACTGTATTAGAGTGTACTCTCGCTGTCTCACACACGCACCAATACACCATGTCTTATGGAAACTGTCATGAATCATATATTATCATAAATGAAGGATGTAAAATTAATCACAGAGGGTTCATTTAGGCAGGAATGCAGTGTCGATGCGAGCAAGCATGATGTTAAAAAGGAGTGTCTCTTTCATCATGCTTTGAAACTCGACACTATCTGTTATCATTTTGATTTTATCATATGGGGGTTGGATCTATTTGACATTAACACGTTGTATATCTAACTACCTCATGAACGAAATGGTATCTTCCATCACATAATCTGAACTTTCACTAAGCCGTCACTAAGCCGAACTTCATGACACAGCCTATACTAAGTGATTTTAAAGTGGCTACAGCACTGGTAAAGCAGCAAGTACGTCCCACTTTTCCAAACCATCTCCGACATCCAATTTTTGGTAGCAAAGAAAAACCAAAACCTCGACCAATTTACCAAAAGAGCCGTAGGCTACACGAATCAATGAGTCATTGTTCGGTTTGCAGTATTCTGGTCGGCTTCATACCAAATGCCAATTCGTGTTGTCATTTCTTATGTTTGAGGATATACATATGAGACGAGCTTGCTGCTTCACCGCTGTCGCAAAATCCAAATCCCACCACAGACACACACACATAGGGGTTCCAAACAAGTACCTATTTATTTATGTATTTACGAGAATACACTTATTAGATATAAATATAGGACTACACTTGTACGGCACCTACCTCGACTACATAGCCGCATGTCTTGACTTCTGTGACAGACGTGATCTTCTTCTCCGTCGCATTGGGATCGCAAATAAACTATGAATGAATAGGATCGATACGTGTGCAAACGCCAGGCGTGGAGTCAGTTAGCTAGATTAACTTGACAAGGGATAGTCACACACTAAAGCAATAATTCAGTTAGCATGCACGCACATCAGCCGTAAGTAGAAAGATACATTCGGTTAAACACGCATGCGACCAGTACGCATTTTTTAAATTTTAGTTATCTGTTGGATGGCGCGTACCTCGTAACCACTGACAATGCGCGTGTGATATGTGAGTACACTGCAGATTGCCTCCACACACCACAACCACCGCAACAGGACTGATAACACACACACGCATAGGTGAGAACCAGTGATCCCCTAACGCTTGTTGCATATGTGAGTTAGGCTTGCACCCCCCCCCCCCAACCCAACAATGCACACCTTGACCTCTGCCGATCGCTTTGTTTTGCGTTTGACGTCGCATTTGGTCCCTGCGCTGTAGTGCATCGTCGGCTGTCTGCGACCCCTTCCCAGTTTGATGGCTGCGAGGTATCTGAGCTGTTTACTACGAGAAAAGTGTATTGGTCAGATTCTATGACTGTCTCTACAGGACACAAGCGGTGCAGTTACAAAGTCCATTCGTACATGCAGGTGCTCATATGCGACGAACGTTCAACGACTATTTGGCAACACACAAAGATAATGTGCTCTATCACTGGTACGCCTGGACAAGCACACTTCACAACTATTGAGGATACGAAGCTCTGCTTCTTTTTGATACCCACATGTTATAACAAACACGTGACAATAAAGATAATTAAGAAACTTTCTACATTTTGTTCCACACGCATGTCCTATTAAACACATGACAGGATTTTCACCATTCTCTACACCAACCCACCCACCCACCCACACACACATACGTATAAACAAACACACACACACACATACGTATACACACACACACACACGCATACACACACACACATACGTATACACACACACACACACACACGCACACACACAAAACACACACACCCATATATATATATATATATGTATATACGTATACTGTCATATCTCCTCGCTGGTTTAGTTATTTAGGACGTGGTTCTCATAGTTCAAATTCGTTACGGTGAATCGTAAATGCGTCATTCCGAGGTCGCAAGTTCAAGTCAT